AATATTACGTTTAATGTTTGAACAGTTAGATAACTTTTTAATTTTTAAGTACGCATAAATTGGATAATGGTACCTCTAGTTTACTGGAGGAAATGGATCTCCAACTAACGCTTTTTCTATTAAATTCATATTATTAACAACTATAAGGTCTAAAGTTGATGAAGACGTTTCCGTGTGGGTAGCTTCAGTAATTAATTGTGTGAGATTAAATTGCCATAGCATATCTCTTATGAAATGATTATTTGGAATTTGTTGATTTTCATTGAAATCCCCGGTTATGAAAATATCCATGTTAGTATTTGACGCTAATTCAATAGAATAATTTATAAGTTGCCATGATTCAACACCCAAATTGGGTGGTCTATAAAATGTACCTATTTTTAAACTTAATTTCTAACCAAACACACTCAACAATATTAATTTCTAGATCACTTCGGCGCTTGACAATAATATTTTTCGAACATAAACAGCTATACCCCCTCCAAGCCGCTCAGACCTACTACACAAGAATGAATAATGAAAATCATCAATAAGCAATCCATCGGAATTTTCAGTGATGGGATTTAACCAAGTTTCCGTAAAAGCCATTATATCTGTATTATGGAGTTCAGTCATTAAGAGATCAATTTTTGGAAGCAAACTCTGAACGTTGTAATGTACAATACTGATATTATCTGATATTAGTGAAGTAGATGCGTTAGAGTATGGACCCGGGTTTGTTTCTGTATCTCCGCATATATATAATAAATTATATATTTGAGGATCAGATTCAAACAGTATTCTATTGTGACAATTTGAGAATAATGAGGTACTTTCTTGTCTGTTACGAGAAATTTTTGGAAAATATATACAGTAAAGAAATATTACAATCAATATGGCCCGTTCTTTAAAACAAAAAAGTAAATTCAAAAACAAAATTACTAATATATCTAAACGTTTTCGTGATGGAGGCAGAGTTGATCTTGGATGGAAGACGCCAGTTTTAACAGGATGACTAATAACATCGGAAGGCATCAGGTAATACCATTTACATAGAACTGAAGTAAAGACATGTTAAAACAAGCGTTTTTCACTCCAATGACCATCTGTGACATCTTGTAATTTTTAACCAAATAACCACCAATTAAACTAGTAAAGACAAAAAATAGTGAAGAGAAAAAACATATAATGCGGGAATGGATATCCGCAATATGGACTTAGGATTGACATTAATATTACGTTAATAGGTATTAATTAATAAATATGTATATATCGTAAAGAAAATGAGTAATTTCTTGTGTCAGACTGAGTACAGGTTAATACAAGTAAGCACGTACATTTACTCACGCATCGTCATTCTCACACGCACTCGCACTCTCCTTTGGAGTGTACGAATATGTTTTACAGTATAATACACACATATGCACCTTCTTACCTACAATAGTATCTATACTCTATTTATGTATACATATGAATACATACACGTGGTTACTCGCATACCATCTCACACGTTCTCCACATAGAATATACAGTTCACTACATAACATATAATTATTAATTTAAAGAGCAAGCAACGACACGTGATGACAACCAAATCATACTTAATATTCGGATACGTACAGGACACTGGTGTACGAATAAACAGCCCTATACAGATTGAGTGTTTCAGAAATAATATTTCAATATATCGGATTGACAGATAGGCTTTATTACCACTTAATTTCACTCAACCCAGTAAATAAATTACACATATGTTGCCGGGTGCAGCAACAGAACACATTTACCTCCCCTATAAAACAGTCCGAAGGAGATTTTTATTCTAAAATACTTTATTATAATAAAGATCTGTATCAGTTTTAACTGGGAGAGTTAAAATAGAGGTGGTATTAATTATACTGTAGAAGTATATACACGGAGCATGATTGCCCAATAGAAAACAACAACTCAGAATTCGTTTGTGTCATTCTTTGTTTCTGATGATATAATATGACCAAATTCAATCAAGTCACGTTCTTTTTTGATGATAACTTTTTTTTCAGATTTGGTTTTAATGAAAATTTTTCCATCAGTGGACCATGTTTGTTTGATTTGTTTAGCTCGCACAAGCTTTCTAGCGTAATAGCATATGGCATCGCGCGTTTTGGTTAGGTCCTCTTTGACTGCGACGTTTTCGTAACCTGGAGTGTTCCGGAAGTTTTTCCTGGCGGAGAGCAGACGACGCTTGGCATCATGATTGCGCAGACGTACAATAATTTGTCTTGTTTTACCATCAGACGGGGGTCCGATACGATGTGACCTGACGATGTCGCTAGGGTCCAAAATCGGGGCTGGACTTTCAGATGGTTTGATCTGATCTACTGCCTGTAGTATTAGGTTTGTAGTGTTTTCACCAGACGACTGTGGGATCCCAGAAAAACGAACACACTCTCTTCGACTGTATTGCTCTAGATCGTCAATTTTCATCTTAAGAGACTCATTCTCTGACTTTAATTCCAATATTTCCCTTTTTAGGGGAGTTATTTCGTTCTGGATGAGAGTTTTAATATCTGGTAACATAATGCTACTGACAGTGATTGCTATGCGTTGAATGTCAAAGTCTGACAGACCTACATTTACGGGAGCAACAGGAGGGGTAGAGGTCATGGTTGGATGGAACTGGAGAAATTGCTGCTGATGATGTTGCGCCGACAATGGGAGCTGGGACTGGGGCGGTACCTGCGAGATGTCCGAGTCCATATTCAACACAGTGTCAGAGTTAAGAAAACTTTCATGCAATTGATACTGTCACCAGTTACTTTATTTTTCTTTGGAGAACGAGAGTTCGGTGTAATTTTAGAGCGATCACGTTTTAAACTTCACTTTTAAAGTTCACTTGAAATACCACGTTATCAACATTGCTGGTGGACTTTCAGACCCCGAGAGATGCCACAACCTGCACGCTACGTTATAATTCACTGGAATAATGGCACGTTTCAGAAAATATACATATACTTGACGTTGTTCTAAAATTGCCTGATACATTGTATAATTGGGCTGTTGCACCTCCCCGTCTAGATTTTTATTTTTTCGGATTTGGATTTTACTCTGGCGTCTCCCAAGCTTGACAATTTAAACCCCTTAGCATCACTGACGGGTCATGGAAAGACGACACAGCTGTATAATGAAGTTTAATTCATTTTTTGGCTCTGCTTTATCTAACTCTAAATCAATATTACAGTGTGCTGTTCACCATGTGACTTTTTTCACAATCTTATAACAATGTAGGCGTTTATATGTAAGAAAAACCAAATATAAGAATAAAATGAAAAAGTGCGCGGAAATATTACATGTGGATGTACATGTATAACATATTTATCTAGAATAACAAAGAAAATACCGACACATCAACAGAATCTACTTTCATGTAGCTAGAATAAGAAGAATAGGACCAGGTGTTCTGAAAGGGTAAACGTCATTTATTTCGATGATGAAAACCGCCATGTCGATCAATCCCTGAAGTAAGTAATGTCATATTGCTATAGAACAAAGTAAACAAATGAATCGACAGGTTTACAAACGGGCATTAAATACATCGTCAGAATGTACTGGTGTTTACGACAGTGAAAAATTACAATACGGTCACATAAAATATCATCATTCAAATATGATGAGAATGGAGAAATTTGGCAAAAGTACAAGGAGAATAAGACCAGGTTTTACCAAGTATCTCCCGTATTATTGATGATACTGGCCGTGTAAAGTAATATCAAGTTCTCAAAATGAGGACCAGTATTTTAAACGGCGCAACCCACTAACATAACAACGAGTAGTGAACAGGGCTTAGCTCATATCATCAAAGGAAATAAAATATGTTTCCCAGTGACAACGTGATGTCTTCTACAAAAATTTCCATTTATTGACGTAAGCCTACAGATACGTCTTTCGAAATCCCATTTTGTATGTTTTATTTTGTTACCTACAGATATATATCACAGAAATCGTTGTAATGGACACAAGCTCTATAATACCATCGTTCGGTAAGTAGGTATCAAACCATTTAGAAAAGGAAACTTTATTGTAAATAAAGATGGAGATAAGCGACTGATGTAGAAGAGTCTGTCTTGTCCCACAGACTTGTTGGGTATATCCATTGAGCATGCCCAGAAAAAAACAAGTTAACGTTGCCATTGTTTTCAAAATATTTCCTTCTTAGTTTCCAATAGACATAAATTAATCTGAATATCCTCCGCCTGACAGATAGATACATCTTTTTACTTGTTCCCTCCATATCATTACGTAATATCTATATCGTTTCTGTTGTTCTCATTATTCTAACCATCTAGAATAATGTGATGCCGGTTGTGAATGAAACAGCTGTATCTTACTGTATTTATCTATTTGTGTGGCGTTCGGACAATACTAAAGAATGTCTATAATTCGGTATTAAGGACATTTAAATATAACACATTGTCTCAGATTTTTGTCTCTACAAATCATACCAAATATACAGTTTAAAACAAATTAGCCATTCTGTGGACCCCGGATTAGTGGTACCTGTGATAAGAATTAAAAGAGATTATCATATAAGTCACAGTCTGACTCAATGAGTGCCTACACAAGGTTATGAATCATATGTTACTACATCCATAACTTGGTATGTCTGGTAGTTCCGTTGTTGTTTACTTTGCTCTCATTTTTGAAACGTGACATTGCATACTTACTTGACACTTACCCATTTAAAACATCTTATCTTGCTTCCTTATTCTCCTTGCACTTTTACAGGAGTCTTCGAATAAATCTTTCTTTTGTTCGTACTTTGCCGTAGTTATATGGAATTTGTGTTTGGGTTATCATTATGTTTACAATTTGATATCTTCTTTGTTTTTTTTTTAAATTAAAGTTCACAAAGGTCATTGTATGATGTCTAAATAAGACGTTCTGGCCGTCAACTTATCAATTATCAAACGACCGACTGATAACAACGTTTGTTATCGTGTTAAGTGCTATTTATATAGACGTGAAACACACACTACATTCGCATCATGGCGTCTTTGTTGTCTGTTACCATCCTCTTTTATTCACTATACTGTGTTAATGGGCAACACGGTATTGCTTTGCCAGAACTGGCATCCAAGATAGGTGCTACAAAATTCGCCAAACTTATCGATGTGGCAAGTCTTGGTCAGCCGCTGACAGCACCAGGTAATCACTTAAATGTACAAAGAATATCTGTCCCCAATGTTTGCTGTAACCTGTCATGTTTAAATTCATCCAAGTGTTGGCACGCCTCAGAATATACACATGTACTTGATGTTCTAAATGATCAGATATATACAACGTATAAAAATTACGAAATTTATTGATTTGTGTGGCTAGTGCACTCCCCATGTAGATTTTGACTTTTCTTTCAATTATTTGTTATTTTCCTTAGTCGCCTTCCAGGCTTCACAATTTACATCACTTACGAGTCCTAAAAGGACGAAACAGTCTATGATGCAGTTTAATTCATTGTTTGGCCCAATTGTATATAACTCTATATTTGTATTAAAATGTGCTATTGACTCGTGAGTCTATTGTACAATCTTGTTACCAGTTAGTTCCAATATCAGATTTACTTGTTGTTGTTAACTGTTTAAATCACCAAAACAAACAAAAATAACCAAACAAACAAAAAAACAAAAAACAAAACAAAAATACTTAGATAAATACTTTCCCTTCCGTTACAGGTCCGTTGACAATGTTTGCGCCAAATAATGGTGCTTTTTCTAAGTTATCACCCGATCTGATGAAACTCCTGAACACTAATATGACTGAGCTGGTAAATGTACTGTTGTATCACGTGTTGAATGAGGAACTGAGGATAGACAATACCACACAAAATGACATGTTGATTGGTACTCTGGCTGGACCGTCCATCAGGATCAATGTGTATAACGTATACATACATCAGAAACTCATCCACACGGTACTATACAGGAATCGTTGCTATTACAGTTCTTAATTTGAGAACTTGACATTACTTGAGTTAACACGCATTGAGCAGAAACAGATTTCTCATCGTCGTTTATTTTCCAAAAGTCTCCATTTGGATGTCAATGTTTTATACTGTACAATCACATCGTTTCGAGGGGCCCATAAAACTCTTAGTCTAGTGGATAAATATAGCTTTTTATACTTATCTGAACAGTTTGTGGACATAGGAATCAGTAGTAGCCACGAAATCAATCAAAATAAATTTTCCGTTTAAATCAATAATTTAACTGTATTTTGAGGTCTTTTTTAATTGAACAGGATTTTGTTAACATGTCGTGCCTATCCTATTCTATACCTGTACATTTGTTGACACGATGTTTATGTTGTATTTCACGTGGATAAATAAATATTAACATTTTAAAACACTGACATTTCTTTCGCCAGGTTACAACGGTGTGTGGGAAGGCGGTCGTGAGTGCTGATAATGTGGCCAACAATGGCGTTCTCCACGTGCTCAAAGGCGTCCTGTTTCCTCCGCCCGGTAACATATTGACAGCGTTACGAAAGTGTCCAGAGCTGACAATATTGACTAAAGGTCTTATAGATATAGGACTCACAGACATACTGGAAGGTAATCCTATGATAAAGGGTCTATAGATATAGGACTCACAGACATACTGGAAGGTAATCCAGTGATAAAGGTTCTATAGATATAGGACTCGCAGACATACTGGAAGGTAATCCAGTGATAAAGGTTCTATAGATATAGGACTCGCAGACATACTGGAAGGTAATCCAGTGATAAAGGTTCTATAGATATAGGACTCACAGACATACTGGTAAGTAATCCTAAGATAAAGGTTCTATAGATATAGGACTCACAGACATACTGGAAGGTAATCCAGTGATAAAGGTTCTATAGATATAGGACTCACAGACATCCTGGTAAGTAATCCTATGATAAAGGGTCTATAGATATAGGACTCAGAGACATACTGGTAAGTAATCTTATGATAAAGGGTCTATAGATATAGGACTCACAGACATACTGGAAGGTAATCCAGTGATAAAGGTTCTATAGATATAGGACACACAGACATACTGGTAAGTAATCCTATGACAAAGGGTCTATAGATATAGGACACACAGACATACTGGTAAGTAATCCTACGATAAAGGGTCTATAGATATAGGACTCACAGACATACTGGAAGCTAATCCTATGACAAAGGGTCTATAGATATAGGACACACAGACATACTGGTAAGTAATCCTATGATAAAGGGTCTATAGATATAGGACTCACAGACATACTGGTAAGTAATCCTACGATAAAGGGTCTATAGATATAGGACTCACAGACATACTGGTAAGTAATCCTAAAATAAAGGTTCTATAGATATAGGACTCACAGACATACTGGTAAGTAATCCCATGATAAAGGGTCTATAGATATAGGACTCACAGACATACTGGTAAGTAATCCTATGATAAAGGGTCTATAGATATAGGACACACAGACATCCTGGTAAGTAATCCTATGATAAAGGGTCTATAGATATAGGACACACAGACATACTGGTAAGTAATCCTATGATAAAGGGTCTATAGATATAGGACACACAGACATACTGGTAAGTAATCCTATGATAAAGGGTCTATAGATATAGGACTCACAGACATACTGGTAAGTAATCCTATGATAAAGGGTCTATAGATATAGGACACACAGACATACTGGTAAGTAATCCTATGATAAAGGGTCTATAGATATAGGACTCACAGACATACTGGTAAGTAATCCTATGATAAAGGGTCTATAGATATAGGACACACAGACATACTGGTAAGTAATCCTATGATAAAGGGTCTATAGATATAGGACACACAGACATACGGGTAAGTAATCCTATGATAAAGGGTCTATAGGGTCAATAGATATAGGACACACAGACATACTGGTAAGTAATCCTATGATAAAGGGTCTATAGATATAGGACACACAGACATACTGGTAAGTAATCCTATGATAAAGGGTCTATAGATATAGGACTCACAGACATACTGGTAAGTAATCCTATGATAAAGGGTCTATAGATATAGGACTCACAGACATACTGGTAAGTAATCCTATGATAAAGGGTCTATAGATATAGGACACACAGACATACTGGAAGGTAATTGTGTATTCATTTATGCATTAATCATACGCCCCTGTTAAAACTAAGAACACCAATCATTCGTCGGGATTGCGTAAAGACCTATCAAAACACATCTTTAATAGGTCATGATTGTAACACAACACACTACGCACATTGGTGTGAATTTTAAATCGAACAACAATTTTTTTTTTAATGACAGGCATTCACTTCGGTGTTTCATGCCTCATAAAGGTGCATTCATTTAAAACTATTTGGGTGTAGGTTTTAAGTTGTATTTTCCAGAAGTATGCAAACAAGAAATGACATTTAAATGAGCAGGTTATTTTGGGAAGCATACTGAGTGTTTATCTTCTCTCAGGTATGTCATACTCATTCACATCTAAAGAACATTGATAAAGATATGTAGAGTGGTGTGCTCACCTGAAAGTACGTAGGTTTTAAATATACAAACGTTCTTAATGTTGGCAAGGTAAACTATAGTTACTTTAAAGTAGAATAAATATGTATTATATAAATATAGAAGTTAATGTGTGTTACCTGAAACGTGAGGCTGTGAACGTGTAAAAGGATGGCGTTAATGTTATGATTTAGTAGTAAATTGATATGTTTACGTCCGGAAAAATAATTTGATTCTTTGTTGATTCGTTTAAACTGAAACAGACACGAGATCTATGAATAAATACATCCGGTATGTTTATATTTATTTAAAATTTCTTGGAACATTTCAACAATCGACACATTTACATCACAACAACTAGGATAGGGTTACCGTGTGAAAACAACATTCTTTTAAAATTATTTTTACATGTCTCCTCTGTATATCTGTAAAAATAAAAACTTTTCTCCGAAACATTTGTGAGTTTAAAAACATAGCAATACGAACGATATTTTTCTCATGCCAAAATAAAGTGTTCGCACAATTTGAAACAAAACTGAACCCATGTAATTTACTTTAATCCTAAGGTGATGGTCCCCTCACTATATTTGCTCCGACGAACGAGGCGTTTAAAAAGCTACCAGGAGACATGCTGCAGAAATTGATGTCAAATATGACGGCGTTAGAAGGTATTTACAACGTTCACACTAGTTTCAGAAACTGATGTTTAATGTGGCACTAGTTTGAGAAACTGATGTTTAATATGAAGGCATCAGAAGGTATTTACAACGTTACCACTAGTTTGAGAAACTGATGTTTAATGTGGCACTAGTTTGAGAAACTGATGTTTAATGTGGCATTAGTTTGAGAAACTGATGTTTAATATGAAGGCATCAGAAGGTATTTACAACGTTATCACTAGTTTGAGAAACTGATGTTTAATGTGGCACTAGTTTGAGAAACTGATGTTTAATGTGGCACTAGTTTGAGAAACTGATGTTTAATGTGAGGGCGTTAGAAGGTATTTACACATTCACACTAGTTTGAGAAACCGATGTTTAATGTGGCACTAGTTTGAGAAACTGATGTTTAATGTGGCACTAGTTTGAGAAACTGATGTTTAATGTGGCACTAGTTTGAGAAACTGATGTTTAATGTGGCACTAGTTTGAGAAACTGATGTTTAATGTGGCACTAGTTTGAGAAACTGATGTTTAATGTGGCACTAGTTTGAGAAACTGATGTTTAATGTGGCACTAGTTTGAGAAACTGATGTTTAATATGACGGCATCAGAAGGTATTTACAACGTTAACACTAGTTTGAGAAACTGATGTTTAATGTGGCACTAGTTTGAGAAACTGATGTTTAATATGACGGCATCAGAAGGTATTTACAACGTTAACACTAGTTTGAGAAACAGATGTTTAATATGAAGGCATCAGAAGGTATTTACAACGTTACCACTAGTTTGAGAAACTGATGTTTAATGTGGCACTAGTTTGAGAAACTGATGTTTAATGTGGCACTAGTTTGAGAAACTGATGTTTAATGTGGCACTAGTTTGAGAAACTGATGTTTAATGTGGCACTAGTTTGAGAAACTGATGTTTAATGTGGCACTAGTTTGAGAAACTGATGTTTAATATGACGGCATCAGAAGGTATTTACAACGTTAACACTAGTTTGAGAAACTGATGTTTAATGTGGCACTAGTTTGAGAAACTGATGTTTAATATGACGGCATCAGAAGGTATTTACAACGTTAACACTAGTTTGAGAAACTGATGTTTAATATGAAGGCATCAGAAGGTATTTACAACGTTACCACTAGTTTGAGAAACTGATGTTTAATGTGGCACTAGTTTGAGAAACTGATGTTTAATGTGGCACTAGTTTGAGAAACTGATGTTTAATGTGAGGGCATCAGAAGGTATTTACAACGTTAACACTAGTTTGAGAAACTGATGTTTAATGTGGCACTAGTTTGAGAAACTGATGTTTAATGTGGCACTAGTTTGAGAAACTGATGTTTAATGTGAGGGCGTTAGAAGGTATTTACAACGTTAACACTAGTTTGAGAAACTGATGTTTAATGTGAAGGCATCAGAAGATATTTACAACGTTACCACTAGTTTGAGAAACTGATGTTTAATGTGAAGGCATCAGAAGATATTTACAACGTTACCACTAGTTTGAGAAACTGATGTTTAATGTGAAGGCTTTTTAATGTAGTTACAATAATTTTATTTACCATTTTGCTGCTGTTGTCCATCTATTCATTCTATGAATCACTTGATAGTTTACGACCACTCAGTGCCTCAAACTCTCTCTTGGTTTCCAACAGAAGTACTGACGTACCACATCTGTGATGGAACTCATTTCACCCAAGGCTTCAGGACTAAAAAGTATTCAGATCTACTGTTGATGTTGTCGACTGGCTGGGTCGCCGTGAATGTGACAGACAGTAAGTTATGTCCCAGGCTGATATAAAGATGATAATTTTCTTTGTTTCAATTTAAAACGTATTCCTTCTCTCACTTGTCGAATAAATAGGGTTTAACCTCCTGTGATACTCTTTGCCCTTTTTTCCTGAAAGGACTCAATTTGAGTTTTCAGTTCACATAAGCATCATGCTTATGTGAAATGAAAACCGAACAAGCTTTTTACAACGAAGCCAACAGGCATAGCAACGGTTTTCGTATTCCATATCGTATAAAGAAATAGATGATAATGATGAAATAGATAAACAAACAAAAGAGCACAATAAGACTGACCACGAAACCACCCGATGGTATTCATCAACCTGAAGATATCAGTAAGCTGGTGATGTCCACAACGGGAATGTTGACAGTGGTAACAAGTCCTATAATATTGTATCGACTGTGACATGACGGGTTTAGGAAGCAGGACTAACGTTTCAGGAAATAGAAAATTATAAATAAGGATTCAGATATAGTTATGTTGATCCTACCGCTTATTTGAAATCTATCTGTCAGTGGTGCAAGTAAAGACGGCGGTAACAGGCTGATGTAGATGAATCTGCTGTGTTCTTGATTTCCAGTTCTGTTGGGTATATACGATAAAAGCAGCGATATTTAAATATCCCAAACAAGCAATCAACACCTGTCATTGGTTGTAGACTCCGTTACTTATATATATATATATATATATATCATACTTTGATACATGTTTTAAAACACTAATGGATCTTTTCACAAGAATAATCAATTATCACCGACTGTGTACTGAAGCTAGTAACGTTTTAACTAGATCGCTATCTTGTTGAAGAGACATGACATAAAGGCCACATAGACTCAAACATTCAGGCAGGAAATGTTTTATATGACTACGGGGTGATCGTACATGTGCACTTCTGGACACTTTAATGAATTCGAAAACGTGTAATGTTTTTCGCTGATAAAGATATGACTCTTCCGTGCTAAAGTGATTTAGAAAAAAACGTCATCAAAGCCGGCGCTGTTGACGAATATCCTGGAGTATGTGTCAACGTGTAAATAACTCTGAATAATACACCGATGTTATGTCTGTGAAATATTTTATGTCTATTATGTAACAAGTGACATCTCGAACTATTTTTCATTTATGTCATAAATGAGTCACAATTTCTTTTTAAAGCTGAATAACTTAAAATAACTTGTAATACTTCATTTCAGCTTACGCTACAGCAAACAACATTAAAATCGCCTACCCAGACATCAACGTCAGTAATGGAGTTGTGCATGGCATGGATTCGGTGTTATTTCCACTCTATTAATCTGCTGCAAAAAACTGAATTCAAACACTGTAGTGGGAGACCTGTGGGAAAACCCCACACAATACCATATTTACGTTTATTTGCGTCAGTTTACACACTTTAATTTTACAAAAGGTATTTGTTATCTAATTACGCATTAAGGCTAACTAGGACACGTTGCATCCTTTGTGTATGTCTGTAAGTCGACATTTTACCTGTATATTTAGCAATGTTTTTGTGTGAAGAGCTATTGTTTGTCATTGTCGGTCCGCATCGGCTGTCAAGCATATCGCTACACCACATTGATGAACGAAGGGAAGTAACTCTGGGAGATCAGGGTGTGGTTTTCTTTGTAGACTGTGTATTTCTCTTGTTGTAATGTTAAAACTTCCGTATGTTTTTTGCTTCGTTAAAATGTTGACAGTATCCATGTAAATACATAATATAAGTATCAGATCAATGTGAAAATCAATTATTGATTACTATTATAAATAAAAGTAATGATAATTATTGGAATACACAATTTTGTAAATGACGACGGAGATACTGAAATCAGAGAATCAACACTAAATCTAGGGCCACGTAGCGTTCGATTATACTCAAGCCTAAACGAAAATACCAGACGATGACGACTCTATTTACTGTAAAAACTGTCTCTCTTGATTTATTTTTACTCTATTTACGTAGTCGGAATAGAGACGTGAAATAGTTAATTTGCAAAATTACGTTTTTAGAGAATACTAAGAATACTTGATTCAGCCAAGTGAAACAGTTTCACGTTTGTTTTAATGATTTAAGTAAAGCCATCTAGTTACCTTACAACTCTAATTCACAATAAAATACTCTGGAGCCAAATAAGGAATTAATCTGCGTCATACAGTTGTTTTAAATTGACAAGAAACTCACGAAATGAATCACTGGTGTAAACTGACAAGAAACTCACGGAATGACTCACTGGTGTAAACTGACAAGAAACTCACGGAATGACTCGGTTGTGTAAATTGACAAGAAACTTACGGAATGACTCGGTGGTGTAAATTGACAAGAAACTCACGGAATGACTCACTAGTGTTAACTGACAAGAAACTCACGGAATGACTCACTGGTGTAAACTGACAAGAAACTCACGGAATGACTCGGTTGTGTAAATTGACAAGAAACTCACGGAATGACTCGCTGGTGTAAATTGACAAGAAACTCACGGAATGACTCACTGGTGTAAACTGAAAAGAAACTCACGGAATGACTCACTGGTGTAAACTGACAAGAAACTCACGGAATGACTCACTGGTGTAAACTGACAAGAAACTCACGGAATGACTCACTGGTGTAAACTGACAAGAAACGGAAGGAATGACACGGTTGTGTAAATTGACAAGAAACCCACGGAATGACTCGCTGGTGTAAATTGACAAGAAACTCACGGAATGACTCGGTTGTGTAAATTGACAAGAAACTCACGGAATGGCTCACTAGTGTTAACTGACAAGAAACTCACGGAATGACTCACTGGTGTAAACTGACAAGAAACTCACGGAATGACTCACTGGTGTAAAATGACAAGAAACTCACGGAATGACTCACTGGTGTAAACTGACAAGAAACTCACGGAATGACTCACTGGTGTAAACTGACAAGAAACTCACGGAATGACTCACTGGTGTAAACTGACAAGAAACTCACGGAATGACTCACTGGTGTAAACTGACAAGAAACTCACGGAATGACTCACTGGTGTAAATTGACAAGAAACTCACGGAATGACTCGGTGGTGTAAATTGACAAGAAACTCACGGAATGACTCACTGGTGTAAACTGACAAGAAACTCACGGAATGACTCACTAGTGTAAACTGACAAGAAACTCACGGAATGACTCGGTTGTGTAAATTGACAAGAAACTTACGGTGTAAATTGACAAGAAACTCACGGAATGACTCAAGAAACTCACGGAATGACTCACTGGTGTAAACTGACAAGAAACTCACGGAATGACTTGACAAGAAACTGGAATGACTAAAATTGACAAGAAACTCACGGAATGACTCACTGGTGTAAACTGACAAGAAACTCACGGAATGACTCACAAGAAACTGGTGACTAAACTGACAAGAAACTCACGGAATGACTCACTGGTGTAAGCTGACAAGAAACTCACGGAATGACTTTCTGGTGTAAATTGACAAGAAACTCACGGAATGACTCACTGGTGTAAATTGACAAGAAACTCACGGAATGACTCACTGGTGTAAATTGACAAGAAACTCACGGACTGACTCACTGGTGTAAACTGACAAGAAACTCACGGAATGACTCACTGGTGTAAACTGACAAGAAACTCACGGAATGACTCACTGGTGTAAACTGACAAGAAACTCACGGAATGACTCACTGGTGTAAACTGACAAGAAACTCACGGAATGACTCACTGGTGTAAACTGACAAGAAACTCACGGAATGACTCACTGGTGTAAACTGACAAGAAACTCACGGAATGACTTGATCTGGTGTAAATTGACAAGAAACTCACGGAATGACTCACTGGTGTAAACTGACAAGAAACTCACGGAATGACTCACTGGTGTAAACTGACAAGAAACTCACGGAATGACTCACTGGTGTAAACTGACAAGAAACTCACGGAATGACTCACTGGTGTAAATTGACAAGAAACTCACGGAATGACTCACTGGTGTAAACTGACAAGAAACTCACGGAATGACTCACTGGTGTAAACTGACAAGAAACTCACGGAATGACTCACTGGTGTAAACTGACAAGAAACTCACGGAATGACTCACTGGTGTAAACTGACAAGAAACTCACGGAATGACTCACTGGTGTAAACTGACAAGAAACTCACGGAATGACTCACTGGTGTAAACTGACAAGAAACTCACGGAATGACTCGGTTGTGTAAATTGACAAGGGAATGTAAAATGACAAGAAACTCACGGAATGACTCACTGGTGTAAACTGACAAGAAACTCACGGAATGATGACAAGAAACTCAAACTGACAAGAAACTCACGGAATGACTCACTGGTATAAACTGACAAGAAACTCACGGAATGACTCACTGGTGTAAACTGACAAGAAACTCACGGAATGACTCACTGGTGTAAACTGACAAGAAACTCACGGAATGACTCACTGGTGTAAACTGACAAGAAACTCACGGAATGACTCACTGGTGTAAACTGACTCACTGGTGTAAACTGACAAGAAACTCACGGAATGACTCACTGGTGTAAACTGACAAGAAACTCACGGAATGACTCACTGGTGTAAACTGACAAGAAACTCACGGAATGACTCACTGGTATGACAAGAAACTCACGGAATGACTCGGTTGTGTAAATTGACAAGAAACTCACGGAATGACTTGCTGGTGTAAATTGACAAGAAACTCACGGAATGACTCACTGGTGTAAACTGACAAGAAACTCACGGAATGACTCACTGGTGTAAACTGACAAGAAACTCACGGAATGACTCACTGGTGTAAACTGACAAGAAACTCACGGAATGACTCGGTTGTGTAAATTGACAAGAAACTCACGGAATGACTCGGTGGTGTAAATTGACAAGAAACTCACGGAATGACTCACTTGTGTTAACTGACAAGAAACTCACGGAATGACTCACTGGTGTAAACTGACAAGAAACTCACGGAATGACTCACTGGTGTAAACTGACAAGAAACTCACGGAATGACTCACTGGTGTAAACTGAAAAGAAACTCACGGAATGACTCACTGGTGTAAACTGACAAGAAACTCACGGAATGACTCACTGGTGTAAACTGACAAGAAACTCACGGAATGACTCACTGGTGTAAACTGACAAGAAACTCACGGAATGACACGGTTGTGTAAATTGACAAGAAACCCACGGTGTAAATGACAAGAATGACTCGCTGGTGTAAATTGACAAGAAACTCACGGAATGACTCGGTTGTGTAAATTGACAAGAAACTCACGGAATGGCTCACTAGTGTTAACTGACAAGAAACTCACGGAATGACTCACTGGTGTAAACTGACAAGAAACTCACGGAATGACTCACTGGTGTAAACTGACAAGAAACTCACGGAATGACTCACTGGTGTAAACTGACAAGAAACTCACGGAATGACTCACTGGTGTAAACTGACAAGAAACTCACGGAATGACTCACTGGTGTAAACTGACAAGAAACTCACGGAATGACTCACTGGTGTAAACTGACAAGAAACTCACGGAATGACTCGCTGGTGTAAATTGACAAGAAACTCACGGAATGACTCACTGGTGTAAACTGAAAAGAAACTCACGGAATGACTCACTGGTGTAAACTGACAAGAAACTCACGGAATGACTCACTGGTGTAAACTGACAAGAAACTCACGGAATGACTCACTGGTGTAAACTGACAAGAAACGCAAGGAATGACTCGGTGGTGTAAATTGACAAGAAACTCACGGAATGACTTGCTGGTGTAAATTGACAAGAAACTCACGGAATGACTCACTGGTGTAAACTGACAAGAAACTCACGGAATGACTCACTAGTGTAAACTGACAAGAAACTCACGGAATGACTCACTGGTGTAAACTGACAAGAAACTCACGGAATGACACGGTTGTGTAAATTGACAAGAAACCCACGGAATGACTCGCTGGTGTAAATTGACAAGAAACTCACGGAATGACTCGGTTGTGTAAATTGACAAGAAACTCACGGAATGGCTCACTAGTGTTAACTGACAAGAAACTCACGGAATGACTCACTGGTGTAAACTGACAAGAAACTCACGGAATGACTCACTGGTGTAAACTGACAAGAAACTCACGGAATGACTCACTGGTGTAAACTGACAAGAAACTCACGGAATGACTCACTGGTGTAAACTGACAAGAAACTCACGGAATGACTCACTGGTGTAAACTGACAAGAAACTCACGGAATGACTCACTGGTGTAAACTGACAAGAAACTCACGGAATGACTCACTGGTGTAAACTGACAAGAAACTCACGGAATGACTCGGTTGTGTATCACGCTTGTTAACAGCAAAGGATATATTTCTGCAAAATATTTTCTGTAGAAAACCAAATCTGTTACATAGACTGTTTTCATTTCGTAATGAACTACAATTAATTTTGTTTGTTAATAGCATATTTTGAAAATGATTCATATGGAATCAAAGAGATTCAACTTAAGCTTCTTTCCAATGACTAGACTGGTTCAACTTGGACGACAATCTATCACTCATAGAAGTGCGAAAGCAAATATACCAAAATAGAAAGACAGACCATGGAAGTATGTTAGTCCTGATCAATATGTCTGGTAATACCGAATGGTTAATATCATCTACAGCAGACTCAAACTTCTGAATCTGTAATCTCTAAAGAAAACACGTGATGTAATTACAAATATATATGATCACCTTTCAATTAGTGTCCTGGTGATCTATCTGTCTGATACGTTTAACGAAATTTCAGTGTACAATAATCAATGATGAATACTTTACTTTAAAGTATTGTATAAATGACTCAGGGGAGAATAGCACCTTTAAGATAAATTTAGAATTAGATAGAGTAGAACCAGGTAATGAATTAAGTTGTAATCTTACAGTTGTTGTGTCCTTGCAGAACACGTGAGTGATGCTAAACTTCTAAATTTCGAAACCTAGTTACAGCAGTGGATGATTATAACCCGGTAACAGTAGTGAGTGATTGTAACCCGGTAACAGTAGTGAGTGATTATAACCCGGTAACAGTAGTGAGTGATTGTAACCCGGTAACAGTAGTGAGTGATTATAACCCGGTAACAGTAGTTACAGCAGTGGATGATTATAACCCGGTAACAGTAGTGAGTGATTATAACCCGGTTACAGTAGTGAGTGATTATAACCCGGTAACAGTAGTGAGTGATTATAACCCGGTAATAGTAGTGAGTGATTGTAACCCGGTAACAGTAGTGAGTGATTGTAACCCGGTAATAGTAGTGAGTGATTGTAACCCGGTAACAGTAGTGAGTGATTGTAACCCGGTGATAGTAGTGAGTGATTGTAACCCGGTAACAGTAGTTACAGCAGTGGATGATTATAACCCGGTAACAGTAGTTATAGCAATGGATGATTATGACCCGGTAACAATAGTTATAGCAGTGGATGATTATAACCCGGTAACAGTAACCCGGTAACAGTAGTGAGTGATTGTAACCCGGTAACAGTAGTGAGTGATTAAAACCCAGTAACAGTAGTTACAGCAGTGGATGATTATAACCCGGTAACAGTAACCCGGTAACAGTAGTGAGTGATTATAACCCGGTAACAGTAGTGAGTGATTGTAACCCGGTAACAGTAGTGAGTGATTGTAACCCGGTAACAGTAGTTACAGCAGTGGATGATTATAACCCGGTAACAGCAGTGGGTGATTGTAACCCGGTAACAGTAGTGAGTGATTATAACCCGGTAACAGTAGTGAGTGATTATAACCCGGTAATAGTAGTGAGTGATTGTAACCCGGTAACAGTAGTGAGTGATTGTAACCCGGTTACAGTACTGGGTGATTATAACCTGGTTACAGTAGTGTGTAATTGTAACCCGGTTACAGTAATGGGTGATTATAACCCGGTTACAGTAGTAAGTAATTATAACCCGGTTACAGTAGTGTGAGATTATAACCAGGCTACAGTAGTAAGTAATTATAACCCGGTTACAGTAGTGTGTGATTATAACCAGGCTACAGTAGTAAGTAATTATAACCCGGTTACAGTAGTGTGTGATTATAACCAGGCTACAGTAGTAAGTAATTATAACCCGGTTACAGTAGTGTGTGATTGTAACCCGGTTACAGTAATGGGTGATTATAACCCTGTTACAGTAGTGTGTGGTTATAACCCGGTTACAGTAGTGTGTGATTATAACCAGGCTACAGTAGTGTGTGATTATAACCAGGCTACAGTAGTAAGTAATTATAACCCGGTTACAGCAGTGGGAATCCGGTTAACCTACTACACACACTGCTGTATCTTTGGTTAAATTAACGGATTATTTACACGTCTTCAGTAGTGGCGGATAATCACTATGGAGAACTCATTGAACACTAGTGATTCTATTATAATAATTCAATGATAGAATATCTTGTAAAATTCGATATTATAAAAAGGGACATCACTCACTACTGACCGTCTTAATAGATAAAATATCTTGTAAAATTCGATATTATAAAAAGGGACATCACCCACTACTGAACACGTGGACACTTGAGTCTAAATCAAACCCACGTGGCACCTTACATATCGTCGTTTGTGTGTTTACTTTTGTTGATTATGTATATGTGCAGATAAGCATGTGTGTGACAATGTGACTTCCTTGTTAGTAAACTTATCTACCTGGTACTAGTACGACATGAGTTAGACAAAATGTGGTGTGTAAGTTTAGCTGTGATCGTCCACACATTGGTCCTTCTACTGGTAGCAGGCAGTCACGTACTCTTTGTGAAGAATAAGGTCCCGCTTGTCCAAACAGCCCTGAATGAGGGAGAGTCCGTGCTCGTGACACTGGCTAGTCAGGCTGGCCTAGCCGACTTACTGAACAAACCAGGTAATACGTTCAATACGGTCGTATACTCAGGGGAGGTAACTCTATAACAAAATGCTATGCGTCAGATCACATTTTGCTCTGTTTCATCTGCACAGGTAACTATATCTATATGTCGTGTAAACAGTTACACAATAAACAAGCCTGTCCCACATAAAGTGTTATTACTTTACATCACTGTTAACAATATAACAGACGTTTATATATATTACTGTATTGTTAAACTGATAAAAGTAAACATAAATCCAGGGATATAAACATATATAATGATAAAGGATGTCAATATTCTGTGTATACCAAGGCCATTTACATATATAGGTATCCATTAACATATGACACAAAAATAGCATCATTCAGATTCTAGGTTCAAAGATCATTGTCATTGACCCAGTCAGAAACAAACACTATCGCTTAGGGTAGTGTATACTTCTGTGATAAGAGGTATCATAGTAAGTACATGTAGTCATGGTAGAACGATCAGGTGGTATTGATAAATACATTTGATCACTATCAAGTTATATTATCTTAATATTCCAAAGCTGCACGGTGATAATACATATTAAATTACTTAGTGTATTTATGAACAAAAACTCACTTTAAGTATTCGAAAATAATATCCGATAAGAGGATTCTGTGAAAAATCTTTGTCATTCATTTCTTATCAAATATAGTGGACAGTGCTTCAGAGCCTGGATCTCCATCCGTACCTTCACCGCCGTCGTTTAATGTAACGATAGTATGTATTCAAGATAGTACATGAGATGGTTTCATTTTTGGTAACGTTTTAATCACATATGTTAATATAGTTGATCGTTAAATGTACTCGGTCCATATTTAGATAAGTATAACACTATTTGAAGTGACCAAGAAGAAGTGTTAATTGATTAAAGAACTAGGATCGCTCACTGCTGATTTATTTTAAGGATCAGACTAATGGCTAATGACAACTCGTACTGGTTTAAAGTATCAATCTAGATATAGCAAAATATTTAGGAAATACAACATAAACATCGAATGTTGTTTTTGTTATTTTTACAGTCGATTTAGATAACAAATTTACACACAAAACATTATGAACGAAGTTCGTGGTGTTGGGTGGTATAACGTAAGTGAATGGTATTATTTTGCCGGAATATCTTAAATGGATTTAAATCGATACCATAGCTAGGCAAAGCTGAAACCTTTAATGAAGTATCACGTGATCAACTGGAAGTCTCTAATGAAAATAACATCAAACAAATTAACACCTGAGTGGAGATTTTCCCCGCATTTATTTTATGTATTCGTACCTGAACATCCTTCGGTCTTCCTCACAGGTAACCTTACGTTGTTCGGCCCCACTGATGACGCCTTCTTTGAGTTGCCTCTGGACATTCGCCAGGCTCTGGAGAATGACAACCAGACCAGAGTGGAGTTCCTTAAGTATCACATCGTCAACCAGACAATACACAAGTCTCAGCTAAAGAATGAGGCTACCTTTAATACCCTTAGTGGACAGCCAGTCCGTATCAACTTTTACCATAATAATACGGTATGTTCTGGAAAAACAAACTTAAATGACACTGGTATGGATCAGTAATTGTGCAGTATTAGTCGATATATAGTAGTGTTGTTGTTCTATTAATATCTTATATGAGTACTTAAGACCATTAAATAGATATTGAGGTCTCTTTTTTCTGGACCAAAACAACAAGAAAAAAACAACATGTCAACATAATCATATTCCAAAATTATATTCAATAAAACTAGGGCAACATATGAAGAAAAGAGAGATTTACACGGAGACTCCTGAAATCATGTTACACCACTAATGGGGTCTACTGTCGCATCAAGTCACTCACAAAAAACAAGAAAATACCAACATGTCAACCTAAGCATGCCAAACTCCAATTCAATAAAAACAAGGCGAAAATATGAACAAAAGGAAGATTGACACAGATACTCCTGAAAAAGTACAAGTAGAATAAGACCAGGTGTTCCGGAAGAGTAAGCGTCTCATGCTTCATCGACAACATTTGTCATGTTAAACTTTCGCCAAACGTTCCCCAATGAGAACGACGTATACAACAACAGAACCAACAGACAAAACTAACGAACATCGAATACATCCAGCTCATTATTATATAAAGAAATAGAACGTTTCTAAATGATATCGCTTTAGACCGTAAAACCGCACTATAATTTTCATCAGCTAGCATCTCTCGAAAGACTATGTTTGTCATCGACATTTTGCACTAAGACCGTGATATTGGGATAATGCTAGAAGTCAAAAGACTTCCGATAATGCTAGAAGTCAAAAGACTTCCGATAATGCTAGAAGTCAAAAGACTTCCGATAATGCTAGAAGTCAAAAGACTTCCGATAATGCTAGATGTTAAAGGCTTCCGATAATGCTAGAAGTGGAAGGCTTCCGATAATGCTAGAAGTCAAAAGACTTCCGATAATGCTAGAAGTCAAAAGATTTCCGATAATGCTAGAAGTGGAAGGCTTCCGATAATGCTAGAAGTCTTCCGATAATGCTAGAAGTCAAAAGATTTCCGATAATGCTAGAAGTGAAAGGCTTCCGATAATGCTAGAAGTCAAAAGACTTCCGATAATGCTAGAAGTCAAAAGACTTCCGATAATGCTAGATGTTAAAGGCTTCCGATAATGCTAGATGTTAAAGACTTCCGATAATGCTAGAAGTCAAAAGACTTCCGATAATGCTAGAAGTCAAAAAAGACTTCCGATAATGCTAGAAGTCAAAAGACTTCCGATAATGCTAGATGTTAAAGGCTTCCGATAATGCTAGAAGTGGAAGGCTTCCGATAATGCTAGAAGTCAAAAGACTTCCGATAATGCTAGAAGTGGAAGGCTTCCGATAATGCTAGAAGTCAAAAGACTTCCGATAATGCTAGAAGTCAAAAGACTTCCGATAATGCTAGAAGTCAAAAAAGACTTCCGATAATGCTAGAAGTCAAAGGCTTCTGATAATGCTAGGTGTTAAAGGCTTCCGATAATGCTAGAAGTCAAAAGACTTCCGATAATGCTAGAAGTCAAAGGCTTCCGATAATGCTAGATGTTAAAGGCTTCCGATAATGCTAGAAGTCAAAAGACTTCCGATAATGCTAGAAGTCAAAAGATTTCCGATAATGCTAGAAGTGGAAGGCTTCCGATAATGCTAGAAGTCAAAAGACTTCCGATAATGCTAGAAGTCAAAGGCTTCCGATAATGCTAGAAGTCAAAGGCTTCCGATAATGCTAGAAGTGGAAGGCTTCCGATAATGCTAGAAGTCAAAAGACTTCCGATAACGCTAGAAGTCAAAAGACTTCCGATAATGCTAGATGTTAAAGGCTTCCGATAATGCTAGAAGTCAAAAGCTTCCGATAATGCTAGAAGTCAAAAGACTTCCGATAATGCTAGAAGTCATAAGATTTCCGATAATGCTAGAAGTGGAAGGCTTCCGATAATGCTAGAAGTCAAAAGACTTCCGATAATGCTAGAAGTGGAAGGCTTCCGATAATGCTAGAAGTCAAAAGACTTCCGATAATGCTAGAAGTGAAAGGCTTCCGATAATGCTAGAAGTCAAAGGCTTCCGATAATGCTAGAAGTGAAAGGCTTCCGATAATGCTAGATGTTAAAGACTTCCGATAATGCTAGAAGTCAAAAGACTTCCGATAATGCTAGACTTCCGATAATCCGATAATGCTAGAAGTGGAAGGCTTCCGATAATGCTAGAAGTCAAAAGACTTCCGATAATGCTAGATGTTAAAGGCTTCCGATAATGCTAGAAGTCAAAAGATTTCCGATAATGCTAGAAGTGGAAGGCTTCCGATAATGCTAGAAGTCAAAAGACTTCCGATAATGCTAGATGTTAAAGGCTTCCGATAATGCTAGAAGTCAAAAGATTTCCGATAATGCTAGAAGTGGAAGGCTTCCGATAATGCTAGAAGTCAAAAGACTTCCGATAACGCTAGAAGTCAAAAGACTTCCGATAATGCTAGATGTTAAAAGACTACCGATAAAGCTAGAAGTCAAAAAAGAATACCGATAATGCTAGAAGTCAAAAGACTTCCGATAATGCTAGAAGTCAAAGGCTTCCTAGAAATGCTAGAGAGTCAAAAGACTTCCGATAATGCTAGAAGTCCGAAAAGAAGTCAAAAGATTCCGATAATGCTAGAAGTGGAAGGCTTCCGATAATGCTAGAAGTCAAAAGAAGTCTAAAAGACTTCAAAAGATAATGCTAGAAGTCAAAAGAAGTCTTCCGAGAAGTAATGCTAGAAGTGTAAAAGATTCCGATAATGCTAGAAGTGAAGGCTGATGCTAGAAGTCATAAAGATTTTTGATAATGCTAGAAGTCAAAAGACTTCCGATAATGCTAGAAGTGAAAGGCTTCCGATAATGACCAGTTTATACTATATTACACCTGTCATGTATACGTTTGTGTGTAACCAGTTTATACTGTATTACACCTGTCATGTATATGTTTGTGTGTAACCAGTTTATACTGTATTACACCTGTCATGTATATGTTTGTGTGTAACCAGTTTATACTATATTACACCTGTCATGTATACGTTTGTGTGTAACCAGTTTATACTGTATTACACCTGTCATGTATATGTTTGTGTGTAACCAGTTTATACTGTATTACACCTGTCATGTATATGTTTGTGTGTAACCAGTTTATACTGTATTACATCTGTCGTGTATATGTTTGTGTGTAACCAGTTTATACTGTATTACACCTGTCGTGTATATGTTTGTGTGTAACCAGTTTATACTGTATTACACCTGTCATGTATATGTTTGTGTGATCAGTTTATACTGTATTACACCTGTCATGTATATGTTTGTGTGATCAGTTTATACTGTATTACACCTGCCATGTATACGTTTGTGTGTAACCAGTTTATACTATATTACACCTGTCATGTATATGTTTGTGTGTAACCAGTTTATACTGTATTACACCTGCCATGTATATGTTTGTGTGATCAGTTTATTCTGTATTACACCTGTCATGTATACGTTTGTGTGTAACCAGTTTATACTATATTACACCTGTCATGTATATGTTTGTGTGTAACCAGTTTATACTGTATTACACCTGTCATGTATATGTTTGTGTGATCAGTTTATACTGTATTACACCTGTCATGTATATGTTTGTGTGTAACCAGTTTATACTGTATTACACCTGTCATGTATATGTTTGTGTGTAACCAGTTTATACTGTATTACACCTGTCATGTATATGTTTGTGTGATCAGTTTATACTGTATTACACCTGTCATGTATATGTTTGTGTGTAACCAGTTTATACTGTATTACACCTGTCATGTATATGTTTGTGTGTAACCAGTTTATACTGTATTACACCTGTCATATATATGTTTGTGTGTAACCAGTTTATACTGTATTACACCTGTCATGTATATGTTTGTGTGTAACCAGTTTATACTGTATTACACCTGTCATGTATATGTTTGTGTGTAACCAGTTTATACTGTATTACACCTGTCATGTATATGTTTGTGTGTAACCAGTTTATACTGTATTACACCTGTCATGTATATGTTTGTGTGTAACCAGTTTATACTGTATTACACCTGTCATGTATATGTTTGTGTGTAACCAGTTTATACTGTATTACACCTGTCATGTATATGTTTGTGTGTAACCAGTTTATACTATATTACACCTGTCATATATATGTTTGTGTGTAACCAGTTTATACTATATTACACCTGTCATGTATATGTTTGTGTAACCAGTTTATACTGTATTACACCTGTCATGTATATGTTTGTGTGTAACCAGTTTATACTGTATTACACCTGTCATATATATGTTTGTGTGTAACCAGTTTATACTGTATTACACCTGTCATGTATATGTTTGTGTGTAACCAGTTTATACTGTATTACACCTGTCATGTATATGTTTGTGTGTAACTAGTTTATACTGTATTACAACTGTCATGTATATGTTTGTGTGTAACCAGTTTATACTGTATTACACCTGTCATGTATATGTTTGTGTGTAACCAGTTTATACTGTATTACACCTGTCATGTATATGTTTGTGTGTAACCAGTTTATACTGTATTACACCTGTCATGTATATGTTTGTGTGTAACTAGTTTATACTGTATTACACCTGTCATGTATATGTTGGTGTGTAACCAGTTTATACTATATTACACCTGTCATATATATGTTTGTGTGTAACCAGTTTATACTATATTACACCTGTCATGTATATGTTTGTGTAACCAGTTTATACTGTATTACACCTGTCATGTATATGTTTGTGTGTAACCAGTTTATACTGTATTACACCTGTCATGTATATGTTTGTGTGTAACCAGTTTATACTGTATTACACCTGTCGTGTATATGTTTGTGTGATCAGTTTATACTGTATTACACCTGTCATGTTTCATTTACATAAGGATTGCATGGTAAATTACTTTTGTTATGCATTTTGGTAGCGTTGGGGCCTCTCACACTATTTGGGCCGACGAATGATGCTTTCGCAAAATTACCAAAAGGAGCTGTTGATGGCCTTCTCCAGAATACAACGGCACTTAAAGGTCAGAATTAAATATGTACTTTACAGATCTTATTTAAAATGTTACTAAAGTGATTTAGAACATTTTGAAATTAACATATATGTTTATCATGTTCCTAATTGTCTGTTTTGTTATCATTGGTCCATTCGTAATCCATTTAGTTTTTGTATATATGTTTATGTGGTAGGGCTTTCTACCAATATCCAGTACATACCCTATTTAACATACAATGCTGCAAAATGTAGACGACCTTGCTTGGTTTTTACAAAGGTATGTGTTATACATTCACGTATCACATAGAGCTACAACTGTACATCACTTAAATTTCTTGTGGGATCTATTTTTGCGGTATTTCACTGATCTACACTGATATAAACACACATTATTATTCTCGAGAAAATATCGTCACATCCTGTATCAATTACATCAGGATCTTGTGCGTGTGCTACATATTTTGTGTGAGTGTGTTATTTATTTTGTTGTGTGTAATATATATTTTGTGCTTGTCAAACACATTTTGTTGTGTATACTATATACTTTGTTGTGTGTACTATATGCATTGTTGTGTATACTATATACTTTGTTGTGTGTACTATGTACTTTGTTGTGTGTACTATATACTTTGTTGTGTGTACTATATACATTGTTGTGTGTACTAGTTTATACATATGTATATGTTGGTGTGTAACCAGGTCATATATATGTTTGTGTGTAACCAGTTTATACTAATATGTTTGTGTAACTATATACTTTGTTGTGTGTACTATATACTTTGTTGTGTGTACTATATACTTTTTGTGTGTACTATATACTTTGTTGTGTGTACTATATACTTTGTTGTGTGTACTATATATTTTGTTGTGTGTACTGTATACTTTGTTGTGTGTACTATATACTTTATTGTGTGCACTATATATTTTGTTGTGTGTACTATATATTTTGTTGTGTGTACTATATACATTGTTGTGTGTACTATATACATTGTTGTGTGTACTATATATTTTGTTGTGTGTACTATATATTTTGTTGTGTGTACTATATACTTTGTTGTGTGTACTATATACTTTGTTGTGTGTACTATATACATTGTTGTGTGTACTATATATATTGTTGTGTGTACTATATTTTGTTGTGTGTACTATATACTTAGTTGTGTGTACTATATATTTGTTGTGTGTACTATATACTTTGTTGTGTGCGTGTACTATATACTTTGTTGTGTGTACTTTATACTTTGGTGTATGTACTATATACTTTGTTGTGTGTACTATATACTTTGTTGTATGCACTATATACTTTGTTGCGTGTACTCTATACTTTGTTTTGTGTACTATATATGTTGTTTTGTGTACTATATATTTTGTTGTGTGTACTTTATACTTTGTTGTGTGTACTATATATTTTGTTGTGTGTACTATATACTTTGTTGTGTGTACTTTATACTTTGGTGTATGTACTATATACTTTGTTGTGTGTACTATATACTTTTTTGTGTGTACTTTATACTTTGTTGTGTGTACTATATATTTTGTTGTGTGTACTATATACTTTGTTGTGTGTACTATATACATTGTTGTGTGTACTATATATTTTGTTGTGTGTACTATATTTTGTTGTGTGTACTATATACTTAGTTGTGTGTACTATATATTTGTTGTGTGTACTATATACTTTGTTGTTTGCGTGTACTATATACTTTGTTGTGTGTACTTTATACTTTGGTGTATGTACTATATACTTTGTTGTGTGTACTATATACTTTGTTGTATGTACTATGTACTTTGTTGCGTGTACTCTATACTTTGTTTTGTGTACTATATATGTTGTTTTGTGTACTATATACTTTGTTGTGTGTACTATATACTTTGTTGTATGTACTATGTACTTTGTTGCGTGTACTCTATACTTTGTTTTGTGTACTATATATGTTGTTTTGTGTACTATATACTTTGTTGTGTGTACTATATACTTTGTTGTATGTACTATGTACTTTGTTGCGTGTACTCTATACTTTGTTTTGTGTACTATATATGTTGTTTTGTGTACTATATATTTTGTTGTGTGTACTTTATACTTTGTTGTGTGTACTATATATTTTGTTGTGTGTACTATATACTTTGTTGTGTGTACTTTATACTTTGGTGTATGTACTATATACTTTGTTGTGTGTACTATATACATTGTTGTGTGTACTATATACTTAGTTGTGTGTACTTTATACTTTGTTGTGTGTACTATATGTTTTGTTGTGTGTACTATATACTTGTTTGTGTGTACTGTATATTTTATTGTGTGTACTATATGATTTGTTGTGTGTACTATATATTATTAGTTGTGTATACTATATACATTGTTGTGTGTACTATATGTTTTGTTGTGTGTACTATATACTTTGTTGTGTATACTATATACATTGTTGTGTGTACTATTTACATTGTTGTGTGTACTATATACTTAGTTGCATGTACTATATACTTTGTTGTGTGTACTATATATTTTGTTGTATGTACTATATTCATTGTTGTGTGTACTATATACATTGTTGTGTGTACTATATACATTGTTGTGTGTACTATATACTTAGTTGTGTGTAATATATATTTTGTTGTGTGTAATATATAATTTGTTGTGTGTTCTGTATACTTTGTTGTGTGTACTATATACTTTGTTGTATGTACTATATACTTTGTTGTGTGTACTATATACTTTGTTTTGTGTACTATATACATTGTTGTGTGTACTATATATTTTGTTGTGTGTACTATATTTTGTTGTGTGTACTATATACTTAGTTGTGTGTACTATATATTTGTTGTGTGTACTATATACTTTGTTGTGTGCGTGTACTATATACTTTGTTGTGTGTACTTTATACTTTGGTGTATGTACTATATACTTTGTTGTGTGTACTATATACTTTGTTGTATGTACTATATACTTTGTTGCGTGTACTCTATACTTTGTTTTGTGTACTATATATGTTGTTTTGTGTACTATATATTTTGTTGTGTGTACTATATATTTTGTTGTGTGTACTGTATATTTTGTTGTGTGTAATATATATTTTGTTGTGTGTACTATATATTTTGTTGTGTGTAATATATATTTTGTTGTGTGTACTATATACTTTTTTGTGTGTACTGTATATTTTGTTGTGTGTACTATATATTTTGTTGTGTGTACTATATATTTTGTTGTGTGTACTATATATTTTGTTTTGTGTACTATATACTTTTTTGTGTGTACTATATACTTTTTTGTGTGTATATATTTGTTGTGTGTACTATATAATTTGTTGTGTGTACTATATACTTTGTTGTGTATACTATATACATTGTTGTGTGTACTATATACTTTTTTGTGTGTACTATATATTTTGTTGTGTGTACTATATATTTTGTTTTGTGTACTATTTACTTTTTTGTGTGTACTATATACTTTTTTGTGTGTACTGTATATTTTGTTGTGTGTACTATATAATTTGTTGTGTGTACTATATACTTTGTTGTGTATACTATATACATTGTTGTGTGTTTACTTTATTTTTTGTTTATAATGGTAGATTTATAAATCTTCACAAATGCCCTCTGTTATGTTAATTGTATTGTCATAGAAAACCTTTTCTTCAACACCTGTTTGATCTCTTCTTACAGAGTTGATGTATTATCATGTGGTACTAAATACATACTACAGAGCTGGCATGGAAACTGGGACACTGAAAACACTCAACGGAAAATCTCTTAACCTGACTGTATCTTTAGGTAATATCATGTTCAAATGTCTGTAGGCCTATGTTTGAATCTTTTAATCACCTCGTCTATTTTAGAAATACCATGTTTAAATACTTTAACCTCGCTGTCTATCTCGTTAATACCATATATAAATCTTGCAACCTCATCAGCTCTCTCTTTGAAGGTGTTTTGTAAAAATATATGTTATCTAATTGTTTTCTGTGTCTTCAGATGAAGTGAAGGTTAATGGTGCTAATCTGATATCTGAAGACAACTCAGTCGTCAACGGAGTTATCCACATGGTTGACACCGTCCTCACTCCTCCATAGTCCTGGGCAATAGGTCCTTATCTCCGTTACACTATTGAGGGGATGTACCATGTCTGATCTCAACTGGGCGCTGGGGCATGCGTTTAGGGAAGCTAAAGATATCGTCAATCGATAACTGTTAATGGCTAACCTCTTCAAAACATCTTAAAGCGGTGTAACAGGACGGATACGGGTTTTATATGGCACCATAAGGGGACACGTACTGTATCAGAATTAAACAATGAGACACATCATCTAATAAAATCATGGTCACATCAATGTTTGAGTCATCTCACTGTTACATATCTCGTGATGGACGATGACCAGGCAACTTGTATATCTATATGTGTATCTCTTTTTCATTGCTGTTATGGTGATGCTTCTTTGATTTGTTGATTTAAGTCATACTGAAAATGTGATATACGATTGTTATTGTCTCGATAAAAAATTATTTTAAAGCAAGGAAGTGTTACATTCTTTTTTGTAAATCTTTTTGTAAAATGTATGCTGAGGTAAATATTTGTCGTTTATCAAAAATAGATTATCTTACATGAGTTTTCAGTTATTATATCAATGAAACTTGTCACGAAACTTCTCAAAATCTAAACTGACGATACCCACAGTTCATATCTCAAAATATATACTGACGGTACCCTCAGTTAATATCTCAAAATCTAAAATGACGATACCCTCAGTTCATATCTCAAAATCTAAACTGACGATACCCTCAGTTCATATCTCAAAATCTAAACTGACGATACCCTCAGTTCATATCTCAAAATCTATACTGACGATACCCTCAGTTCATATCTCAAAATCTATACTGACGATACCCTCAGTTAATATCTCAAAATCTAAACTGACGATACCCTCAGTTTATATCTCAAAATCTATACTGACGATACCCTCAGTTCATATTTCAAAATCTATACTGACGATACCCTCAGTTCATATCTCAAAATCTAAACTGACGATACCCTCAGTTAATATCTCAAAATCTATACTGACGATACCCTCAGTTCATATCTCAAAATCTATACTGACGATACCCTCAGTTCATATCTCAAAATCTAAACTGACGATACCCTCAGTTCATATCTCAAAATCTAAACTGACGATACCCTCATTTCATATCTCAAAATCTAAACTGACGATACCCTCAGTTCATATCTCAAAATCTAAACTGACGATACCCTCAGTTCATATCTCAAAATCTATACTGACGATACCCTCAGTTCATATCTCAAAATCTATACTGACGATACCCTCAGTTCATATCTCAAAATCTAAACTGACGATACCCTCAGTTCATATCTCAAAATCTAAACTGACGATACCCTCAGTTCATATCTCAAAATCTAAATTGGCGATACCCTCAGTTCATATCTCAAAATCTATACTGATGATACCCTCAGTTCATATCTCAAAATCTATACTGACGGTACCCTCAGTTAATATCTCAAAATCTAAACTGACGATACCCTCAGTTCATATCTCAAAATCTAAACTGACGATACCCTCAGTTCCTATCTCAAAATCTCTACTGACGGTACCCTCAGTTAATATCTCAAAATCTAAACTGACGATACCCTCAGTTCATATCTCAAAATCTAAACTGACGATACCCTCAGTTTATATCTCAAAATCTATACTGACGATACCCTCAGTTCATATCTCAAAATCTAAACTGACGATACCCTCAGTTCATATCTCAAAATCTAAACTGACGATACCCTCAGTTCATATCTTAAAATCTATACTGACGATACCCTCAGTTCATATCTCAAAATCTAAACTGACAGTACCCTCAGTTAATATCTCAAAATCTAAACTGACGATACCCTCAGTTAATATCTCAAAATCTAAACTGACGATACCCTCAGTTCATATCTCAAAATCTAAACTGACGGTACCCTCAGTTCATATCTCAAAATCTAAACTGACGATACCCTCAGTTCATATCTCAAAATCTCTACTGACGGTACCCTCAGTTCATATCTCAAAATCTATACTGACGGTACCCTCAGTTAATATCTCAAAATCTAAACTGACGATACCCTCAGTTAATATCTCAAAATCTAAACTGACGATACCCTCAGTTCATATCTCAAAATCTAAACTGACGGTACCCTCAGTTCATATCTCAAAATCTAAACTGACGATACCCTCAGTTCATATCTCAAAATCTCTACTGACGGTACCCTCAGTTCATATCTCAAAATCTATACTGACGGTACCCTCAGTTAATATCTCAAAATCTAAACTGACGATACCCTCAGTTCATATCTCAAAATCTAAACTGACGATACCCTCAGTTCCTATCTCAAAATCTCTACTGACGGTACCCTCAGTTCATATCTCAAAATCTATACTGACGATAACCTCAGTTTTTATTTCCACTTTCTACTGACACCACAATGACACATTTGAATACTCCGCTCGGTGTTTTTACACGTGCTCATAATAACACTTTTTAACGTATGATATCGTTAATAATCGTTATCATTAGAAAAATAATTAATAATGTTATTGAGGTTAATTTATTTTGCGTATCTGGAATTTTCCCCCGACAATATTTTATTGAATCTTTTTGCACTTTTCGTAATCAGAATGTTTATCTGTGTCCCTGACATTGCTGTTGGGTATAAACCATACAGAACACAATCCAATTCGATAAAGGACCAAATTCAGATTTCGTTAATTCCATATCAAACCACCATGTGATTGAAGGGGACCGCCATATTTATTCTGTAACTTGCTTTCCTTCGCGTGGGACCACGTATCTAATAAATAACCTTGTTACATCGTGAAGCAGTGATAAGATAAACGTAATCTGATCTACACAGGAATCGATGTTAGCCTCTAAACCGCCATCAGGAAATGTCATTCTCATCCCAGATATACCGAGTGTATACCGAAACCACCATCTTCAGCTTACGTAAAAAAACATTAAAACACCACCAATTGGCTGTAAATATTGAATGAAGAGCGTTATGTAGATAAGTCAAATAATGGTAAACATAACAATGTATGTAAAAAAAGAACTGTACACTAATCCATATACGCATTTTTTTACATTATGAAAGTATGAGAAAGAAAACAAGAATTCCATACACCCGTGCTGGAATAACGACCTATTCACAGATAAACTTTTTTCGCGGGAATTCCTAGCTGTTGAATAATTAACATAACACGGACGGTAATCAGAGAAGTCCTGCAGATACACTAAATAAATCGTTTGTTTCTCCTTTTATTATAAAAATATGGCATAAATACCCATAATTAATTGTAATACAATTATCAACTACAATGTAGAACTATTACACACTCATTATAACAAGGAATTGTGGGAAGGAATTCATACTCAAGGGATAAAGAAACGCAGGGTAAACTTTGAAGATGATTCCAGGCAAGACGTCGAGTATCATGGTCAATATTGGTCAGTAAGAAGGAAGATGATTCCAGGCAAGACGTCGAGTATCATGGTCAATATTGGTCAGTAAGAAGGAAGATGATTCCAGGCAAGACGTCGAGTATCATGGTCAATATTGGTCAGTAAGAAGGAAGATGATTCCAGGCAAGACGTCGAGTATCATGGTCAATATTGGTCAGTAAGAAGGAAGATGATTCCAGGCAAGACGTCGAGTATCATGGTCAATATTGGTCAGTAAGAAGGAAGATGATTCCAGGCAAGACGTCGAGTATCATGGTCAATATTGGTCAGTAAGAAGGAAGATTAATCGATAAAGAACAAACTGCAAAATCAACGATTAATATCAGGTAAGTGATTTAGGTGTAATTGAAGGAAGTTGAAAGAGAACTCTGGAATCTAAAATCGAAATGGACTGATTGTGGAAGGTGGCAAGTCAATACCGGGTATGTCCCCCACTCGCTCTCTCCATAGCCCTGATTCTTCTAGGAATGGAGTTCATGAGTGAGTTTATCCTCCTCATTGGGATGTTGGCCCATTTTTCCAAGAAGACTGCTCTCAGTTGGGCCAGAGTTACAGGGGGAGGCTGGCGTCGTCGAACCTGTCTATCCAGTTGGTCCAACAAGTATTCAATTGGGGATAGGTCGGGCTGTATGTAGGCCAGTCCAATGGGTGGATATAACAATATAGTGAGGAAATCGCGACAGATCCTCGCTACATGGGGCCAAACATTATCCTGCTGGAATGCGAGGTTGTCTTGCCGCAGTAATGGGAAAACATGGGCTCGGAGGATCCTTTCTCTATACTAAGCGACATTTAAATTACCTCCTACCACAACCAGTGGTGATTTAAGTCTATGTGAGATTCCCCCCACACCATTACCGATCCACCCCCAAACCTATCCGTCTATTCTTCGCAGCAGCCGACAAAACGTTCTCCATGACGTCGGTATACACGACGTCGAACGTCTGCTCGAAACAGTATGAACCGAAACACATCAGTAAACTACTGCCTCAATGGGAATATTCTGGGGGCATGTGCCGCCACCCAAGCCGCTGGTGGGTGATGTGCCCGCAGGCCAACTTCCCGCAATCGGTTCCTTACAGTTTTTGCATGGATATGACGGTTATAAGCACCAATGATATGAAGGGAAGATTTAGAGGCAATAAGGTGCCGATTGCGTAAATGGGAGTGACGAATAAACTTGTCCTGACGTTGTGACGCCACGAGCGGACGCCAAGACCTAGGTCTGTCAGCAACCCGCCCAGTTTCCCTTAGTCGTATAACAAGACGTTCTATAGTGCAAATATGGACACCGAAATGTCTGACAACCTGTATTTGCCTTTGACCTTGCATAATCATCGCAATGGCATGACCCCTCAGAACTCCCGTCAGCCGAACCATTGTTTAATGCTATCAGAAATTAATCAAAATATCGTAAAATTATGTCTCTATGAAGACTACCCAATGGTATGACGAGCAGTGTAACTCAATGTCACAACACTGCTGTGCACGAGATTTTCCCGTTTCGTGTTTTCTCCGGAAGACGTCGTCACGCAATACAATAATGCAACATTTAATACAGGACCACGTGCACTGTAACCTAGAGTGTTGTTTGACTGATTTTCATTGTTTTGAACGCGTTCTCAAGATATTGCAAATAATGTCACCTAGCGTTTCTTTATTCCTTGACTATATTACAACGCCAGATACATCACCAATGCACGTGTTTCGTATGTCCATTTCGAGCTGTGCAGTGCAAATGTAAATATTGGAATTTACAGAAAAAATAAGAAAAAATACCAACATTTTAACAAAATCGTAATTCAATCACACAGTCGATGGAACCTAGGACAAAATATTTACAAAAGACAGATCAATGACGATACTTTCAAAACAGAAGAAATATGACACGACCATCTATTGTTTAAGGGTAAGCAATCTATTCCTTGAGCAATATTTCATCATTTTCTCTCTTAAAATGTAGGAATTAACTAGGCATGACACTTAGATTATTGCTGCAGAAGGCATCATATCTAAAAATGATATCTTATATAATTGTATCATTTACCTATAACAAACGAAAGCAAGACAATAACGTGATATTATATCTCAATCAGTTACTAAACAGACAGAAGAAATGTAAACTGTTAGTTATGTTTGTTGTCTTACCAAAACGTCTTAAACAATAGTGCGTGTATTATGAGTGATGTATTCATGTGGTATATTGGGGCAGGTGAATGAAGAATTTATCAAACATGTAAGCTTTGCATGGTTTCTGCCCCATTGTCAAGCATCATATCAATAATAACAATGATCAAAGCAATTATGCTTTGATAATTGACATAACAATGTGATTCATAAGTTCTGAGAAAATACACTCGATACAACAGTACGTAAATGATATGTTTGCCATTCTTTCGTTCTTTAATGCTCCTTGTTAACAGATCGATGTACTATGTATGTTACGTGATGGTTCAGCTGGACGTTGTCGAGGAACCCATTTTTTCATAAACACCAATTTGTCGAAGGCAACTGCAAATTTTTTGTTGGTAACGTAATACACAAGCCAGTTAAGTGAGGGATGGAGATGTGCAAACACTGTGATAAACAAATGTATGGCATGCGAGAAAGTGTTGTGTGTATCTACTACCATCAGTATAGCGAAAGGAATCCAACAAACGGAGAACACAGCGTACACTACAAATATAGTGCGGGCGAGATGAAGGGACTTTCGAACAGCCTTTTTCTGCATAACTGATGGAATTGAAAACCGGTCGAGATGGCGATGTTCTTCACTTCCGTTTTTGTCATCACCCTGCTTTTGAAAGATTGTTCCCGTTGAAGTGGGCTGTAAAGAATGTTGTTGAACGCGTTTCTGACTGTTCAAAACAAACATATACAAATTGATGTATGAAATCCCTGTCACAAGAACTGGAACCCAAACAAGAGTGACTGAGAAAACGACTGTATACGGAAATGTGGCCATCCTGTCCCAGATACACTCCAGACTCTTACGGTCGAAACTATGGTCACCAATTCCCGCCAGATTGAGAAGTACCATGGTGATACCAAGAATACAGAGGGCGCCACATATAATGACGCAGTTCCGGGCGGTAAATATCCGATTGTAGTGGCGATTATGACATATGTGTATATACCTGTTAAAGCTAAGGCAGGCTATGGACCCCAGTGATACAATACACGACACTGTGCATATGGAGGCAATTGTCCGGCAAAGTCCAGGAATACTGTCGAAGAACTGTTCACCTTCAAGCTTAGCTGCAAAAACAAATGTTATTGTTAATAAAATAAATGATAAAAAAAAAATATGAAATCTAGTATTTCACTAAATTAGGAATATGCGTTTTCATTCATTGGTATATCATCACCGCACTAATAAAATCAAGTAAGAAAATCCTTCACTTTACTAATGCCTCAATTCGGCATTTACTTACATGACAAAGCACACAAATGATGTAACAATACGACCCGAGTGTTACTTAAAACATCAGTATAGATCGGACTCTGGAGAATGCCTCTGGTAGTAAATCTTCCTCGACGTAATACTATTGTCACATATTCTATGTACTCCGACGTTCTCTTGGTCTTTCCGTCTCATGAATGTAATATTTGTAGCTTTACGTGTGTAATTACTAAAAAGACGTTGAGAAATGGTTTTGAATACATAAATTTATATATTGATTCAACACAGCTGTTCACGACATGTTCTCTCGTAGACTGAGTATATCTAGAATGAATGTCCTTACTATGGTATACAGTTTAAGCAATGTACTGACGACAAAAATTGTGGAGATGCCGGGGATTGAACCCGGGGCCTTTCACATGCGAAGCGAACGCTCTACCACTGAGCTACATCCCCTGTAGAGATTACTTTACTAAGTAGAACTTTTTACCTTCACTCTAGGCGTTGATATAAAATCAATGACTGTCAGGTACATTAATATCAATATAAGATAGACTACTGAAGATAAAACAATATCATATCGTAAATAATGTGTATTTATACGTAGATATTATATATAAATAATCTAAACCGACTACGTTGAGATAACATCTAGTAGTTGATTGTTCCTATACAATTTTAAAGGCGTAATTGATATAGGTAGTATGTACATGTATTAACATCTTTTCTAAAAGGAACGAATGCTACATTCCTTCTTGTGTGAGGTCTTCCGAAATTTGGAAAGTGAACTTATTTTTTATATCATGACAACCTTGTACATAATCAAGTTTTAACTGTATGATGCAGTTGAATTCATTATCTGACTCTACTATAAAAAAACAAAAAACAAAAAAATACCAACATGTCAACATAATCATATCCTAAACTCAAATTTAATAAACATCGGGCAAAATATGAACTAAAGAAAGATTAACACGGATGCTCCTGAAAAAGGGCAAGGAGAATAAGACCAGCAGATGTTCCGGAAGAGTAAACGTCTTCTGCTTTATTGACTACACCCGCCCTGTAAACCATGGTTAATCCAAGAAAGTAACATCACGTTCTCTAATGAAAACAAGAAATTCAACAACGGTAATTTCATCAGGTAAGCAAGTCAGGTTTGCGTATAAAAAATAGCACAATGGACGATTTCTCGTCAATATCTAACCAATTCATCGAACCATGAGTTTTTCATTGTAATAGGTTACTCGTAAAAGGTGGATTTCAAGCTTGTAACAGGAAGCAGTCATAATGATTATGTTCTAGTTGATGAGTCTAACATTGAGTTTATAGAAAATTTCATGAGTAGGGAGTTTAATCAATTCTTAGACCATTCGCCCATTGTGTTCAATCTACAGGTGAACGTTAAAGATTCACCTGATAAAAATACGTTTTCTTATTCTATTCGATGGAATCATGTTTAACTCTGTGGTATTTAAACGTTTGGTGAATGACGCTGCCGACCGTTTAATGGACAGAAGTGTAAACAGGAATTTGTCTCAGTATAGCGTTAATGACAATGTCATAAAACTGTCCGATCTTTTTAGAAATATCGTTGAACCACATTGCATTCAGATTCCGTCGCGTAGAACTTCTATTAATATAGAAGACAAACTATAGTTTACAGAAACATGCAAAACAAAGTATAAAGAATATGAAGCCACTCTCCCAAGTTTTAGTAAAGATAACTCACGTGACAATCATAAACCAATAATTCATCAGAAAAAATGTATAAAAAATTTGAATCCTAAACTGAAAAGATAATACAAGATACATAAAGGAAACATGAGAAAACATAATCCGGAAATATTCTACAGATGTTTCAAAAAGACAAGAGTCAAAGAGAGTAATTTGACGAATGGAGATTTCTTTGAACATTTGACAGAATAATGAAAAATTACGATAACTCAGGTAACGATATGAATCTTTTTGAAGAATTAGATACAGATATCACCGAGAGAGAGGTTTTACATGTAATAGGTCATTTAAAACGTAATAAAGCACGTGGTCTAGGCGGTTTGTTCAATGAACTTTTTGAAGCATATAAAGATACTTTGGCCCCTTGTTTAAAAGTGTTTTAAACAGAATCTTCAGCTCTGGGTTTTTTTAGCACTATTTAAAAAGGGGAATGTTAATATAACAGGTAATCATAGGGATATTACCTTAGTAAGTTTTCAATGCTCAATGAGAGATTTATTAAAATTGATAAAAACTTATTCTATCATTACCGATATACGGTTCGGATTTAGAAAAGACCCATCGACGGTGGATGTTATTCTGGTCTTACAGTGTCTAATTCTCTCTTTAAAACCCTTATAGCTGTTTTATTGATTATAGAAAAACTTCAGATTTTGTTAGTCGTTAAAATCTTTGGTATATATGATTAAGGAAGGGATAGAGGGGGAATTTCTCAGAATTAGCAGAAGTCTGTATGACAACGTGAGATGTAGTGTTCAATACAAAGGCATAACTGATTACTTCAATTGTGACTGTGCCATATTTCACTACGTTAGAGAAACAGAATCTATATTCTTGTCGATCCAAGTCTGAACATCTTTGTCACAACGTAGTAATATTGACACACATTTTCATTGCTATAACACTGGTACAAACGCAGCAGGTTTACATTCCAAATATTGCACTGGATTGAGCCTCAGGTACCAAACGTGGTGGAAATGGGTTCGCCGGGTACCTAGGGAAGTGAAAATAGGTTTGACGGGTATGCTTCAGACCAAATCCAATCATTCTTTCAGACGAGGGTTTTTTCATATATTTACTCTATTTCTCCGGTTGGGCATTACTCCTACCGACCAAGGGAGTCGAGACCAAACCTTTACAAAAAATAAGTCCTTTTACCAAGTTGTTATCATCTAGAAACGGATGTAGAAGTTCTTAAAACGAGATAAAGTTAAAGTTCCTTTATATTGTTTTGCAATTTTATCTCATACCACCCCTGGATGGTGCATATTTCGACAAATGGTATGCGAGTGAAAATATGTCCCTTCTTTTCTGTCATTCACCAAATCAATAAAAACAAATAAATCATCGACATATCAATATGATTATAAAGCAAAACACACATTCAATAAAGCTATGGCTACATATGAACGAAAGAAAGACTCCTAAAAACGTACATGGAGAATAAGACCAGGTGTTTCGGAAGAGTAAGCGTTTTCTGTTTGATTAACGACACGAGCCATGTAAATCTTTGTCAAATCAGAAATACCACGTTCTCAAATAAAAGAACAAAGTAAACAACAACGGAACCACATGGCACGTAAACACTAATCATGGTCAACTTAATATCGAACAAAGAAATAGAATATTTCCCAATGATACCATTACGACGACCTGTTAGGAAAGCCTTAGAACCCAGAGTCAGGGTATTCTGTATAAATCTTCATATTAATCCTTTCCCTGTTTTTTATTATAAACTTCATTGTAATATACTGGGTATGGAAACTCATATGTATTGGATAAATATATTTATATGCAATTACAGGACCAGAAAGCAGGAAATTACTACGATTCTCAAATTCCATAATGATATGTCTTATCTCTGCTTGTGTGTCATTCTCACTAATGCTTTATTATTGTTAAACACAATACTGTGACTAATGACCAGTCCGCTGTTCACTATATCAGGTTTATTGTCGGAATCCTGATTACACCGGCAATGAAGAGCGGAAGAGGGCTGTCGAGGTAACAGTGAAATTAGCATAATTGAGACTATAAGGTGATATAAACGAACTCTTTTGTGGTGTCGGTCCTTTGTAATCATATCTTGTCCTTCAGCTGAACCCCATAGTCTTTTAAGTTGTTGACAATGAGGTCCGATCGGTGACACTTCAGCAGCTCTGGCAGTGTTCTCAAAATATCACATGAAATCCGCGCTGAATCAGGCCCGGCAGAAGCAATTTGACATTAGTTTTTTTTTAAGTCATGCTCAAAATATTGTGTCGGTCATTAAAATTTCTTATGTTGAATTGATATAATTTGTTTTTGAATGAAATTTTCTGTCTTGTTTTAAGAATAAGGAGCTTGCAGTTACAGGACCGTGTTTTGATTTGGTCTGCTGTTTATACCACAATGTAAATGTAACCGCAACATAACAGGAGGTCAACGAGAGATTGTTTGCGAAGTTGTAAAACTTCTGAAATTGTTAATTTTGATACCAGCAACCAATGCTGTTAGTGAACGGTCAACATCAGCATTGCGCAGAATCAAAACCTATCCGCGATCAACAGTGACACAACAACGTCTGAACAACTGCATGCTACTTCATGTCCACAAAGAGGCGACTGCATCTACTAATTCAGTTGATGTTGCAAATGAATTTGTAAACAATGAAAACCGCGAGAGGGTATTTGGAAAGTTCACATCAGACGGCTGATTTCGCATAGTTTCTTAGTTCTAAAGGTCAAGTAAAACTTTTCAGTTTATAGTTTATGAAGATTGAGGAATAATGAGCTAAAGTTAACATCACGTGGTGAACGTCTATGTTTCCCTGGATAAGCACGACGTTATACACATCAATATGGCCACTGACCGGTCAACGCAGACACAATTAAATGCAATTAATTTTTTATCTCTCAAGTTGAATGAAGTGGTATTTTAGAATTCAAATATGAACGTACAAAAGAAATATGTCCTCCACGAATATCCATATACATGTAAAAACGTGACATTTTCTGTTGTACACCTTATGTTTTCAAAGAAACATAATTAATTGCAAAATGTTTGTTAATTTCATATTCTTTTGTTCATATCTCATCCTGTTTCGTCGAATTTCGTTTAAGATAGATATTCTGTTGACATGTCGGTATTTACCCTGTTGTTTATGTGATGTCGGGAAAAAAATCCTCGACGGTATAAAAAAATCCAAGGGTCGCTGGGTTAAAAAGAACTTTCTGTTTCGTCTCGCTGCTACGAATCAATCTCTCCCAGAGTGCATTGCGGTATCAGATAAGATATATTGTGATTAAGGAAAGGCCAATCTGCTAGAGATTTGCTGTAAATCTGACTGATCTTGTATATTCCCCCAAACCCACAGTAACAGACAATATCTACAGTGTAATTATGGTTGTGTCATCGATAATGCGTACATTGATTTATTTAACAGCATATCACGACTAGGAACGGACGCGTGAAATCTAATATTCTTATTTCAATCTTATATTCCGTCGTTTTCTTTTCGGATGACTCTCTCGAGCCCGGGTCTAATGTACAGATACTGAAATGGTGTGGTACCAAATATAGGTTTTGTATTTTATGAATCCTTAGTCACATATTTATGTTATCTGTGGGAGCGAAAAAGCAATATTTTATGGGAGTATTGTTGTATCACCCAAGTAACACAACATGCATTAAGGCAATGGCAGTGTTTCTTATCTTGTAGATATAAGATGGACGTTAAGGTAAAAATTTCGACTTCCATCGATGCGAAACTCAGAACAATTGGGATTTCGTGTCCTACAGGTACAGTGCTTTATGGCAGTAGACTTACAGAGGGCCTACCATTAGTTAGAAATTGACACGTTATAAGCCGTACTTGAAGAGTAACATGCAGACATTAGCTATGGAAATCTTGGTACCGTCCATTTATAATAAGTCATTCTAGGGCCACAATCAACTGTCAAATTTATGATGGAGAGAGACGACAGGAAGCTAGTCACTCTAGTAGATCAGATATTACGCTATCATAAAGACCATCTTAACGAGGGCAATGTAATTTACACATTTTATCCGGAAACTAAGAAAGGATGGAGACATAAGCTACCACATATCTTTAGGTCAGTAGATGTTAACAAATTGTGCCCATAGACAATATATACACAACTCACAGCAGCTATAGATTGACACAAGGACTATGTTATAGGTAATAAGATACACAGCAAATTGTACCCATAGGCTTACACAGGGACTTTATTACAGGGAATTAGATACACAGCAAGCTGTACCCATAGATTGACACAAGGACTATGTTACAGTGAAATAAATAAACAGCAAGCTGTACCCATAGACTGACACAAGGACTATGTTACAGTGAAATAAATAAACAGCAAGCTGTACCCATAGATTGACACAAGGACTATGTTACAGTGAAATAAATAAACAGCAAGCTGTACCCATAGATTGACACAAGGACTATGTTACAGTGAAATAAATAAACAGCAAGCTGTACCCATAGATTGACACAAGGACTATGTTACAGTGAAATAAATAAACAGCAAGCTGTACCCATAGATTGACACAAGGACTATGTTACAGTGAAATAAATTCACTGTAAGCTGTACCCAGAGAATTATACAGGGACTATGTTGCAGTGAAATGAATATATAACAAATTGTATACATAGACTTAATTACAAAGGGACTTTATTACAGGGAATTAGATACACTGTAAGCTGTACCAAGAGAATTACACAGGGACTGTTACAGTGAAATAAATACACTGTACATAACCAATTGTATACTTAGACTTAATTACAAAGGGACTTTATTACAGGGAATTAGTTATCATAGGTGTCGTATCCACAGGCCACAGGTGTTAATTCATTAGCACTAATGTTCCGAAGGATTTGATTGGTGAATCCACATCGTTACAGACTGATACCTATAACGCTAATTACTGACCTATTACACTAAAACAATACCTAAGGTAATTTGTAACTTACCAACGATGCCCATGGGATCAGCTACCGTTGTAATATACAGATCGGATACGGCGAGGTTGACAATAAATATAGACTCCTTGTTCTGTAATGGCCTCTGTGTGGCTACAGCGACAATCACCAATACATTTCCAAAAGTCCCCACGATTGACCCGAAAGATAAGACAATGATACAAGGAATGGCGAGACCAGGACTCTCCAGTAGGAACTGATGACGTCCTAAGACCTGGTCGGAGTGGATGCTGCGTGGGGTGTCGATTGTTGTCAAGTTGTCCATGTTATGCACCCTTCTGTTCACCTGTCAACAACAGGAATGACAAAAGGTTAGGATATAACTATTGATATATCCCCACACTTTACGTCGAGGTACCGTCGATCTCTCTGGAGACAGATTTCATGGCGTTATAGCAAAGCTCCTTATTACTCTAATGATAGGGAGTTTCATATACCCAATAAACGCCCTTATGCTAGAGTAATTATTTACCGTTTATCACTGAGACAGTCAATTATCTTTCAGTTTCAGCAAGTTTCACGACTTCAAATGGATTTTTTGATCGTCTCGGTGGCTTACAGATATTGTTTTCAAACTTATGTACAGTATAAGGCTCCAGCTTTCCAATGCCCAGGTTCTCCCCCACTGTATTACATATTGATGTTTAGGCGGTAGCGAACTATCTCACTACATTATATTTATTTGTGCATCCTTTTCAAAATAAACCATTCTACAGAGCGCCTTCCCTCAACTACATCAATCAATATGATCATGTGGGAGTCATTAGCTCTTCAATCCCTGGTGGTCACATAATTATTATCTTCGATTCGCGAGAAAAAGTCCATTTTCAAAATGATTCGAAACGAACCTGAATCATAACACTAAATAAGTATTTCTCTCCCCAACCCCATCCCCCTCTCCCAACTCCCTACTTATGACGACATGATATAAAATATAACTTGTATAAACTCGTTATAACGAAAACCCTTGAACCCTCGTTATAACCAAAATAGTAATATTAATGTCGACATTAGATACAACAAAACTAGGATAACCTCGTTATAATGAAACTGATGTTATATATATATATATATTGGTAATTCAGAGTAATATACTCAGGAGAAGAAATCTGATCTACGATTACACAAAAATATACTGATACTTACTGGTATAAAATGCTGAACTTTGATCAGTAAAATAAGATGTTGGAGGTGATTCCCACATACTGCATAAACTACCTAACATCCAGTGTATCGGGAAGCCATGAATTACAATACAAACAAGATTACCCACAGTTTTTTTATAATCTTACACCGACTTTGTTGTCAGCTCTTTCATAGGACACTGACAGTATTCAGCTACAGACATATATGACAAATGTAAATGCCAGATGCACTTAGGATAGTAACGTGCACAGGCACGAAACTCAAACCAGAACGGTTCAGCAATGTCGTTGATTTTAGCCTTGTTGTATCCTTGTTGTATCCTTGTGGTATCCTTGTTGAAATACAGATTATATATCTATAGATAATGACCAAAATCTGCAGAAGTATGTAATACATCCGATAGCATTGATAGGCCCGTGGTTCCTCTCACCTCTATATATGGTGTCGTATGAACCACAAGAATATCATGACTGTGAAGACCAGAAGTCTATTACACGTAGCATGACAATGTCCCATTTGCACACGCCTGACAAGGCGGGATGAGACAGAAACTAATCAGATTTTCAAGTTGTTGATGTATGGGTAATGTTGCCTTATTTCCAAACTCCTTGGTGACATAAATGTCGAGTACATTAATTCTGTGCCCTGTTCATTCGATAATCCATTAACTAAATATATAAGATACATACACATTTCGAAATAACGTTATTGTGCTTTAATACAAATATTTCTTAAAGAAATTAATTAAGAGTAAACTAACATGACATGAAAATTATGATTCAAACACAGAATCGATATAGCTACGGCAAAATATGAACAAAAAAAAGGAATAATACACGGAGGCCCTTGAAATGAAGGCAATCTTTTGAGAAAGTGTTATTGTCCTTTCCTGAATAGAAAACATCCGCCTTGTAAATCTCAGACAATCCAAGGAATATTAAGACTCTAGTTTATAACAACACCCGCTATAGCATACTAGTGAATGCCGATCACATTTTCCTTAATGTCGCACAAGCAAATTGAATATTACACAATGAGGCTAGAGTGTCGACCGCAACAATTTCCACTGATATTAATCATCTCTCGAAACCTCGTATTGTTGCTTTATTTGTAAACTGTCAACATCATTTACGAAAATCGTAATATTAAACAAATCTCTTGGGAATTGAACTGTTCCGCTGTAGATTTGTGAAGCAGGACTGTGAGTATTTAGAAATGGATTGAAAAATGATTAACCATAATTAATTATCATATTATCATTTTATCAATTATCATATCATTATATTAATTATCATATAACTTAGAGGACAGTTTTCCTTGTACGTGGCTGATGTTAAGCTTCTGTAGTGTTCTAGATTGCTCACTCAAGAAAGTAAATCCGATAGACATTATTGATCGTGTAGATTTTATTGCTTAAAAGTTGTACAAAAGTCACACAAGTTATTAGTACTTTTTCATACAAATTCAGAACTAGATACAGCAAAATCCAACTAATCATTATGATTATGTAAAGTAAAATTGTTGCCTTTTTGGTTCACATATTTGATGAATTTGACTTGGTATGAAAGACAAACCTATTGAACCACGAGTTTACCAACTTCAACAAAATTTTCGCCAAATGGAATTTCAAAATTCTTAGGACTTCATCCTCAGTATATTTTTGACCTTTGAACTACTGTTTTACGAAAAATCATATACATATATATCGGCAGACACCAGTGACCAGACAATGGAGACGTTCCTTCAGTTTATGATGGGGCATGCTAGTATTGATAAACGGATCTTCTCTCCAAGATTGATGAAGTTTGTTTGGATTAAAAAACAACGGTATCACGATAAGAATGTAACCCTGAACTGATAGTGTGTAGGACTTAGAATAAAGTAAAAGACTCAGATAAAGATGTGTTGAACAGCTAGACAAGCCAGTCTACACATAGTGCAGCTTTAATCTTCAACCCTGCAGTGAGGTCCTCACTCTCATTCTGTTTGTCTCCGGAACACCAAAAATGTTCCCTGTAAAATCTGAAGAGGGACAGAGAAGTACAGCATTGATGAAAAGCATGAAAAATGTAGAAAATCAAAACATTTACCATATGACAAAACAAATGCCTTCCAATTATTGCAGAATTAAAGACATTTGATTTTTGTTTAATCGGCGATCTTTCCAGTTACCATGCTAACGAACGTAAGGCTGGAAGCATGTTCAAACAACATAAACCACATAGTATATTGATGTGTGATAACGTTATACCTTTAGTGGTTAAAGTTTTTATTTATATTTCATGTAAATATTCATACGACTGTGATTATACACGTGGGGTTTGAACATTAATTTGATTGCAGGTCACTGGTATACTTTAGCAGTATTTCACTGTTGTAGCACAATAAACACAACAGGGGAAATAGTACGACTGTCGATATTAACACACTCAGGACAATTTTATTGTTCTCAATTATTTAGGGAGAAGAAACATTACTATATCATAATGAGTGTGGCCATTAATACGCAAAAGACAGGATAGTTGTGGAGCAAACAGAGCCGATCTCATTCAACCGACTTACATTATTTTTGTTCTATCTAACGTCCAGTTTCAAAGCGTGATTATAAAATCAAGTAACAAAAATCTTACAAATCCCTCTCTTTTTAAATACATCAATGCTTGATATGATTAGATAAGTACTGACTATGTCGATAAGATGACAATGGATCATTACAAGTGTTTGATGCTCGTTAGTTTGCCTGTTGGTTCCAATGTTGTATACCTTGCTTTCATTTGAGAACGTGACATTACTAACTTGGATTGACCAATATGTACATGGCGGGTGTAGTTAATGAAGCAGAAACTGCTTTCTCTTCCGGAACACCTGCATAGCGCATGGTTTTCAGAGGTTTAAATTATAAACAGACAAAAGACCGTCGTCATTATGCCATTTTAAAGATTTCCTTGTGCTATATGAAACTTTTGTTCCATGTGTACGTGTCTATTTCGTTTTTGATATCATGTTGATTTGACAAAACGGTGCATGGTGGTGCAGTCGATCACAAACTTTGTTGAATCGATTTGAAGTTGGAAATAAGTGTTTGTTTACACACCGTCATTTTGATTATTTTATTACACTGATAACTGCCGTTTTAATGGAAACAACGAATAAGGATAATAGCAAACCCATTTGGTTATGATGCAGACATTCAGCATCGGTTTGTGGTGTAACAATCAATTCTGTATTGTTTTGTGTGGTAATAGAATCGTAAAGCAGTTTTAGATTTTTTCGTGTAGACAGATCGCAGAGCCAAGAAGACTTGAATTCGCTCCGATCCTAAGATAAATTAAAAGACAATAGACACAACAATTCGTTTTTATCTCCCATACCACCATCAGCAGCATTTAAAGTTTGTACCGAGACCGTGGTGTTAAAACGTTTGTTGAGGTGCTTTTCTGTTAATGTGTTTGCTTTGTAACAATTTATACAGACAAAATGTCAGTGTACGTCAGTTCACTTGAATCAAAACAGCATCGTTACAAAGATTCGTAAACAAGACACGGAAACCTCAAATCCATTGTTATTTCAATCTGATTTTGTTGTTTACATTTTCGAGTGGAAGTTTACGAAGCTGGAGTATACTGTTAATTTTGTTGTTGCTATGGTTACAATCAACTATCTAACTTAGTGCCAATACTGTTAGATTAATAATTTCTACTGTATGATAGAAAACATGTATACCAAATGTCATCGCTGTGTCTATAGAATCCTTCCTTCTACGGAGCTATCAAAATACCGACCTGAATTTAAAAATCTATTACAACACCTTCAACCAAAGACGCTATCACAAATAACAGCTAGAACAAAAAATACTAGCATGAACCAAAAGAGCTCTTAAAATGGTACGTTGAATCGAAGACGTTGCAAATATGACAGTGTGAACTGAAATAGATAACAACTAGAATGGAAGGCACGAGAAGTGATTAAAATATACATTTACATTTGTAAATTGTACAAGACACCCTAGTAGAAAGTATCTTTAAACACAAACCTATAGTTAGCTACAGTCGAGCCAAATGATATCTGCATCATACAGCTAGTTCGTCCTTAATGGAATCGTCAGTGATGCTTAGGTCC